TGTGCTCTGTGATCAGGAAGGATGGATATGGCTTGCAGTAGACAAGCAGGAGGCTTCTTCTCCAGGTATTACTTGTAGCTTTCCTTAGAAGAGATTTTGTGACATTTTTATTACTTCTGCTGCCAGAGAGTGAAAGTAGCTTTTTCATTTTGATTTATGATAGGTTTTGTAAATGTCAAATTCCTTGTTAAAGTGTAAGAGTTGACATTCCAAAAGCCAAAGGATGATAAAAAATAATGTTTGAATACTATATACACAGCTATAGCTGGGAGTTACTTCACATCACAATAAGAGAACATTGTTGGAAAGCAAAGCAACCTATCTTTCAAGCAAGTATCTGAAGGAAAGAAATTAAACTGCCATAAAACAAAAGATTGATGCAGTATGTGATCTATACACTTATAATTCAAATATAAAGAAAATGAACAGATGAGTGGAAACAGTCTGAAATCTATTTAGTAGGATGTGGTTTCTGATTCAAGTTAGCTCTTGTCACCAATGCCTTGGGATTAACTTTTAAAATTGGGTGTCCTTCAGTATTAGAGGTAGGCCAAAAATCATTTTTGTTCTCCTGATATCTCCAAGGGGAAAAACTATCTATTGCTAACTAGGTTGCATCATATTTTCATTTTCTTGGTTTTGGGGAATTGCAAAGTAGTAGATTACTTAACAGAATGTCAAAGGAGACAAGGATGACTCAGCTTCTCTATGACAACAGTGCACTTGGGATGCTAATATGAATCAGGGTCATGAACCCAGATATAGATACTTCCAGGGGCCAGATGATGAAGTGTGTGTCCCAGGCAGGGATAAAGACAAGTTGGGGAACACTTGCCTGCTATTTCAAGGGAGGATGGCCCCACAAATATGTGGTAAGGAAAGAGCCCAACGTCTGCTGTGTCTGGAGAATTCCCAAACACATTTTAAAAACACGCTCAGTCCTTCCATTTTGAAATGCTGGTAGTGATTTATTTATTTATTTATTTATTTGTTTGTTTGTTTGTTTGTTTTTGGAAACCTTGAAAGTTGTCTATGAGCTGCTCTTCATCTCCAAGCCAATGACAACTTCATATCAAGAGCTAATCCATTAACTGCAATAGCTCACAAGACATGCAATTGTCAAGTTCATCTGAATTCTTGTGTTGGTTCAGCTGAGCACTATGTTTGAGGGATTAAACAAATATGAAAAAAAGCTTGTTTAATGACTTAAAAATCAAAAGCAAAGTCAGTTGTAGATCTTAATAAATGGCATCATCAGATGATCACAGTGTGGTGCACTCAGTCATTAGACAAGTACATACTGAGAATCTCACATGTGCCAGGTACTGCTACCGCTCCCAGGAATACATCTGACCATGGGAAACCCAGGGGCTTTCATTCTAGAGGTGGAAGGTAGCAAAATCCATAGGTAAGCAAGACAAACAGCAGGTAATAGCAAAGACCACGAAAACTAGGGGTAGGGCTGTTGCTGGCAGGTGTCTTTTGGGCTTCTCTGTACTAGCCCAGTGGCCTGTAAGTGCTCACCTTGGAGAACTTCTTCCACTCTGGAATGTCAATTCTGCTTTATTCCTTTTGTTCTAGAACTCATCAAGAGGTCATTTGTGGTGCGTTTTAATAAATAGAAGGCCAGTTTATTTTAAATTAGTTACATTTTAATCTTCTTGACTAGATTTGGGAGAAATGTTGATCCAAGAGGGATTTGGGGAAACCCCTAATCTAATCAGTAACTTAATTACAATGCTTGGGTCGAGGCTACTGCTGTTGCTGCTGAATTCCAAATATTTGGTGTTGGTTTCCTTCTGCTTCAGCCATTTTTCAGCTTGTCTCCAAAATTTCACTATGCACCATTTGAGGGTTGTTGCTGCCCTTTGGAATAAGAACAAAGAGGTTCAAAATGAAGGTCCTTCAAGGCCAGGGATGCACATCCCTAAAAGCATACATTAATAAACAGCTTTTTTTTTAAAAAAAAAAGGGGGGGGGCAAACAGACTTTATTTTATAGTCCCGACTTCTTGTAAGGTTCTAAATTTTATTTCATTGTATAAATTTAATGTGTACAGGATGTTTTGATGTATACATATGTAGCAACATGATTTCTAGTCAAAGAGTATCTGTCACTCCTTTTAAACAAACATCTTTGTGAACTCTTCCATCCCTGCGTGCTGAGATGAAAGACCTCTGGAAGTTAGATGACTAAGGCTCTAAAACCAGCTGTTTGTTAGGCATCCAACTCTCACTTCATCTCAGCCCTGGATGTGAGGTTCGAATGACTGTGGATCTGAAAGCAAACCCCTCCAAAGTTCCCTATGATTATTGTTTCAATTAGACAAGCCATTATTAAGATCAATGGCTGTGTTTTGCAATAAGTTACAAAACATCCAATAGGGTCCTAGTGAGCAGATGGGTAAAGAAGGAGGAACTAGACGTCAAGCAGACTTCCTTAGAAAGAATCAGCACTGAAGGGGAATGAAACAAAGTCTGGCCTGTTACATTTCCATTCAGATAAGAAAATGTAGGTTGTGTGTAATGGGTGGAGCCAACAATAAATGTCTAACATTCACTGAGTGCTGACTCTGTTCTGGTGAAGGGGGTCGGTTCTTCCCAAAATTTGCTCTTCAAGTGAGGAGGAGGGAAAGAAAAGCTAAACTAAACAGTATGGTAGAATTGGGGGGGGGGGAAGAACATTACCATATGTATAGGCAGGGTGCACTGTCACTCCCAACTGATCTTTTAAAATAACACTTTATTAAATTATAATCAAAGTGATGGGTCTCATAATGACGTTCTCATTCAAATATGCCATTAAATATTCTTAGGTTTCCAGACTGGGTTTCCCAGATCTTTAGTGTCTTCTGAAGCCGGTCTCTTCCGCCCATTGTTAGCTAATCTCCCCTACCCAACAACTCAGGAGAGTTCCCAGTCGGGTCCCCCAAGGTCCAGCCTTCTGGCAGTCTTCAGAAATAGTTCTCTCCGCGTGCCAGAATTTCAGCAGTAAGTACATGTTGCCTGGAACGTTGAGCTGCATTTTTTTTAATGTCTCCCACTAAATTATACAACATGCAGCTGAGCAAATAATGGAGATGCTTAAAGAATGCATTCCATACGTGTACTCGAAGGATATGCTTTTAGTAAGCCAATGTGTGCTTCTTTCTCTGTGCTAAAAACGACTGGAGATAGATTGCTCCATTTAAGATTTCCATTAATTCCATTAATAAACTTCTCAGGATATGAAATGTCTCCAGAATGTAGTGAAGCTAGGATGAAAGCGGCATATTTCTCACTGGTGTCAGGCCTCGCACGCTGGAGAAAATATGCTAATGCGGCCGTTTGCCGCAGGGCTGGTGTTATTTATATAGTGCTGGCTGGGCAAGGCTGGCGCTGGAGTCCGGAGCGCCAAGAGCATTTAGATCTCCTGTGAGGTGTGGATGTGTGCGCCTGTGCACACAGCGTTGGAATTGTGAATCCGAGACCTTGAGGAGGGGGTGGGGTAGGCCGCCCTCTTTCACGTTTGTATCGTGTGTGGCTCCTGTTGAAGGTGTAACCTTCCAGCATTGTGTTTATTTGACAATCATTCCGGGGTACGAAAGAAATGGCGATTTGGGGTGGGTGCTGCAGTCAGTGGATCCAGTGTGACCCAGCGTTGTGAGAGACTAGTAACCTAAAATTGGCAAATATGCCTCCTTGCCCCTTCACTGTAGCCATCAAAAGCAGCCTTATTTGAGTCTGGGGAAAGCGCAGAGTGTTGTTCTGGAAGGCAGGCAACCCTCGGTCTCAGGACCAGGAGTGGGGTGCCAGCCGCCGGGCACCTCGAAAACGAACAGAGGTCACGGAGAGCCGGTGTGCCGGGGGTGGGATCACTTGCG